GCGTGTTCTCTAGTCATATGGAAGCATTCCATCAGTACTTACTAACACAGTTCAAAGACAGCTTGCCAGCAAACGCTGCCATTCGAAAGGAAACATTGCCATACATACCCACCATTTCAGCAAGAGATTTGATGTTACATTCCAACAATATGTCGATGCCGATCTACAATGAAATATAACTTTTTATTTCACGGTCAATTTTCAAAGCAAGGTGAGCACATGGTGTGCGTCACGGTGACATAAACCAGTCCGATCTACAATGAAATATAACTTTTTATTTCACGGTCATGTTTCAAAGCAAGGTGAGCACATGGGGAGCGTCACGGTGACATAAACCAGTCAGGCTTGTGTACGTCATGAACATATTTAATAAGAAAAAAAAGGTATCGCTGGGTCCAGCCAGCCGAGGCACATCAACCGTCAAAGCTTAGACCAATGACTTGGACCATCTCCCGCTAAAGGGAAACATAGTAGATTCGAAGGAGCGGGCGCAAACGCTTACAATGGCGGCGACGTTGACGCTGGTGCTCATCAAGCGAAAGCCAAATAAAAATCACAGCTTTTTTTATATAGCATTAATCAGTTCACTATCTTGATTGCAACGCAATACCCGTACTTGGGCATTAAACTTACACCTACTCTATCGTGGTTCGACCGTATTAAAACAATATCTTCCAACGCTTCCAGGTCACTTGGTTTCTTAAGACGTAATTTGAAAGGTGCACCTTCAAGCATTCGCAAATTATCATACTTGGCTCTCGTTCGCCCTCAACTAGAATATGCCTGTTCGACCAGGTCTCCCCATCAAAAATACTTAATTGACACATTGGAAAAAATTCAGAATAGGGCAAGCCGCTTCATCACCAATAACTACAGTCCCCATTCCAGCATATCGTATATAAAACAGAAAACGTTCACTTGCACTCTTGAACATCCGTCGTGACATTGCATTGATTTAATTCTTCCATAAAATCACACACTCCACCCGAATCAACGTTACAGGTCTGCACAAACCATATCTCACCTCACGTAGATTACACAATCATGTCAGCTATTCCCGTATGTACGGCTCTATAAATGCGTTCAACAAGTCGGCACTTCCACGTGCCAGTATTCTCTGGAATAGTTTGCCTGACTGCATTGCTGCCGAGACAAACCATGAAATATTCCATCATATGTTATCGAGCCACTTCACACACTTGCCCCGCCGCGGTGGTCTAGTGGCTAAGGTACTCGGCTGCTGACCCGCAAGGCGCGGGTTCGAATCCCGGCTGCGGTGGCTGCATTTCCGATGGAGGCGGAAATGTTGTAGGCCCGTGTGCTCAGATTTGGGTGCACGTTAAAGAACCCCAGGTGGTCTAAATTTCCGGAGCCCTCCACTACGGCGTCTCTCATAATCATATAGTGGTTTTGGGACGTTAAACCCTACATATCAATCAATCAATCACTTCACACACTTCACCGAGTAGATGCCTTTCCCTAGCACAAGGATCAATTTTGGGAACTTTTTTCGCCCTACACCATCATCAAAGCAAATTTATCGTATGCTACATCAGATGAGCTAGTTCTCACTGGCAGTTATCCCGCCTATTGCCTTTTTTTTCTTCGCACAGTGAATTCACACCGCTGTATTGCTGCTATGAAATGTATCGCTTTTTTTATCATCTTCGTGCATGGTATTAATTTTTTTTTGTAAAACATGAACTCGTTTTAG